TTGATGAAGGTGTCACATCGATTACAATTCGATTTATCTTTTGCAAAATAATTCAGTTTAATAGCTGGCATTACAAAACTGAAGTAATACATTTCTTCAAACAATAACCTTTGTCGATTGTTGGCGGAGACAAGAAAATATAGATACAGGAAAAGCATGTGTCTGTTACTCTATTATTTTACCGGGTGATGAAATGTTCAAATGAAAAGTAAACCACACATTGTCTGTATACAGTGCTTGACGATGTGTATGTAGTATTGATGGTGTAGTATTATCAATACTGTTACCGAGTTCGATTCCCCACAAGATTAATTTTGTGTTCCCATTTCCAGTTCTCTCATGTCATTTCGCTGACGTGTGTTTAAAATATACTCAAGTTCACTCATGAAGTAATTCTCTCCGACCGTGTGAGCAACATGCGTGCCCATTCAGCAACGCTAATACAGTATAAAGACATCCCACAATGCCACTTTAAGTTTATTCTCAGTTTACACAACTTTGACACTAAGTTTACATAAAAGCATCGGAAACTAAACTCTCACATTAATAATTGCTTCTTGTGTTCCGAGAAGTGTGTTTTTCCAAGAGAGCGGTGCTAAATCACCCATGCTTTCTGTAGTTGCATCGCGGTTAATCTCTGAGCAATTTGATTTATCACAGCCTAAGCCCAGTCGTGTCATCCCGAGTAATTATATATTACAGTAGCGTTAATTACAAGCTGGGACGAAATGGCTGTCTTAACACGGTCTTTGACCAACCGACCTGTATTCATGTGTAAACAATACTGATTTGTGAGTATTGCATATAAAGAAGTACCCAGCCCATTGTCCTTAACGCTGTCCTCAAGTTTTTGATTGTTTTATTGAGTGATATTGATTTTAGACTTTTCTGCAATTTAAATGTTTGGTTAATGTTCTGATTATATTTGTATAACATAGATTACATGTATTGGTGCTGTAACTTTAAGTGGAATTTCTTCGTAGTATAATTTTGGTTGATAATAAATTGTAATTAAACAATTGAATTTGATGCATCCTGTACATCAGGTTTTAATGTTCATAGGAAAGTACAAAAGGACATCAAAGAGAGTTAACTTATCCATTCAAATTATTTCAATCAATTGTGTAACATATTTATGGGCCGGTAACATTATGGCTATTTTAACAGCAAAGACTGGTGATTTATATACATTTGGAACGTTGAAATTAATTACACTTGTACCCATAAATCGTAGAAAAGTTTGATTTTGTTTAAAAGATAAAGTCCAATTGGTAATTACGCATACCAACAGGGCGTGATAGCGACATATTTTAAACTAAACTTATTTTATCTCTGTAAATAAAACATTAATAGTCACGTTATTTTATAACACGATACATTTGCGGCTTTCATTCTGTGTTTTTAGAGAAAATATCACACAGTAGTTTTGATCATAGAGGAATAAGGTGAATCCGTACTGGCCTCTAGCACACAGTACAAGGGGCATCTATTCCTGAGCAAGTTCGCAGAATAATTTAACATTTAAACCACTGTTAAATCCATAATACAAGCCGACAGCAAGTTAAATTCACGTCTTGCCGTAGACATGGTGAGGGACTTTATGAACAAGTGGTTCATATTTATCGTTTAAGGTAATTATGACAGTCTATATTCTACTGTACCTTCGACATATACCTGACTTTCAACACATTGAAGAATTTGACATCTTTTATAATGAGTGTAACATTTTACCTCCGGTGACAGATTTATCTTTCCTAAGTGTTAACATAGTTACGGTGGCGGTTAAATTGTGCGACCTCAAGGGGCAAATTGTATCGATGTTACCTGTACTTGGTGTTGAATTTATTTTTCCGAATTCCGGGAAGAAGTATCTCAATATTAGAGGAATTATCTTGTTTGAAAAGTAACATACGTCTTATTTTCAAATAACCACTGCCAGTCCCTTGTAGTTTTTCTACCGCTACCTGTGTTGCTATTAATGATGATAGAAAATATACTATACCTATAGTTTCAACATATTTAGTTTGCTTACCCTGTTTGCGAAGATTTGGTGTTATCACTGATGTTCAGTGTTCCATTTATATAATGTCACAGCAATTTTGTTGTCTGTTCTGTTGGATAAACGAGATGGATTACCCTCTTCCGTTGACGTGTTATTTGTTGCAATGTATTTAACGATACTTGTCAACAAGAACACATTTGTTTGTGCATCTACTGGTATTGGTAGTGAAGAATGTTATTTAGAAACATATCGAATATATGATTAAGATAGAAACATGTGTAAAGGTTATGATCTTATTATACACTTTATTATAACTGTTATTTTACACTACAGACATTTTGCAATACCTCCAAAGGAAGGTATATACTCTTACATGTACCTGTAATCTGGATAATTAAATATTTTTTTGTAACCCATTAGAAGTATTTTCTTGCACATATACCGGCGGTTGTTTTGAATGAATTGTTCTATATGATTTGGCCCTATCAATCTTTGTACACCCTGTATATGTATATAGGGAAAAGAATTACTTCGGTTATTTAATGAGGGTGTATAATCCTTGCTGACGTTGATGAGTTAATCCATCTCTGTTTCTAGTCTTGGCTATATTATTTAACATACGAAATGTTTGTTAATAGTTATGAATCAGGTACACTTATTAATATTTAAAATTATGAAGATAGATTATCACTTTGCTAGTGTGGTCGTCAAACTGAGACCATATTCTTTTCCTATTGCATCCGTCCGTTCCCAGTAAAAGTAGACAATGATTGTAAGGCAAGATAAACTGAACCAGACATTTATTAAATTGATATCTCTGACATTCTGTAATTTTCCGATTGTTAGCTTCATTTATCGTTTGTTAGCAAAATATGCAAATGTATAACACTGAACATAAGAAGAGAAAACGTAGAATTAATTTGTCACAAGCATTGAAACAGTGTAGCTTCTATATAATATATTCAAAATCGACAGATCGCTTATCGTAGTTTAGTTATAGACACACTTCCACCCTTACGCTGTACGGATCACCCCTTCCCCTTCTATCTGTGACAACCCTTTCTCCCAACTACCATTGACCCCTCCCTCCTGTATCGTCCTATACCCCCACCCTAGCGGCAATCCCCAGTTTTTTGGTTTTACACCTCCGCCGAAGTCTCTCTCCCATATAATTCTCTGACACCCCATCGTTCTTCCCACGAACCCCCTCTCCCCCGTGTGTTTATCGTTTCGGTGACAACTGTATTTCTGGAGTTTTCTGGTGACAACCTGCCTCTCGCACCCTCTCTGTGTGGGAGTTCCACGTGTTCCCGGTATCAGCTCTAGGGACGGATTGTAACCAGATGTCGGGGGACACTTGTAGATGGAGGGAAGCACCCCCAGCTGTCTACTCGTATATACAAACATTATCAAATTTGTTATCGTATCGAAAATACAACCGCCAAACATCGCGTGACGTGAATAGCAGCCACAACACACTCGTCGGGAACATTCAGAAGTCTTAGCAATCTTGATCGTTTAATAAGTCAGTTACAAAGGTAATAAATATGTGAAATACCAGGAAAGAAAGAAAAGTATATATGTACTTTCATCAACTTGAAACTCTTAATCGTTTCACAAGAAACTTACAGAACATCGAATGTACTTTTAATAGCAATTTAAAATTAATTGTTTTGGGAATTATAGCTTATTTTCTCTAGGTTAGGTTGTTTTGAATACAACATTCTAAGAGTTCTTTTTGGTGAAAATTGAAAATAATTAATATTATATATCTGTACAAAGGTGTGAAAAAAGAGCTAATGTTTCCTATACAATGTATTTATTTTGTTTCAAAAGCTTCCTTAAACCACTTCGTTTAAATATAAATCCATATTTTGAGGTAAGTAGATATGTGTATATGTCATCGTGCAATGATAAGGTAGATATTTTATTGTTTTCAAAATAATGCATTATGATTCCCGTGTTCTATTCATCTAGTTCAATGGTTTGACTTAATGCCTGTCTCGTACTGTTTCGATTGAGAATATTACAACTTCTGATCTGGAGAAACTGCGGAATTAATACTTTATTCAAATGTACCTCATACAACATAGAGGGGTATGATTGACCAGTCTTGCAAATATTTTGTATACGAATGATACATATATATTTGAAAAAGGTGTTTGGTCATTTTGCCTATATTACATTTCGGAATGGTGAAGGTGTTTCCAAATACAAATTTAACACATTCTGATTTTTACTGGTTATTTCCAAGTATTTGCTTATCAGTAATGAAAACTGTGGAATGACAAGGTTTTGCAACATGTTTGCATAGTACGTTTTAAACAATTATCAATATTTAAGCGATTAACGTGTTATATTGTACTACGATCAAGGATTCCGTTTAACAAGACCACAGACAGTGACGTTCAGTCTTGCAGAACAGGCTGAGTGCTGATGTTCATCTGTTTTATAACTACACTTAGTTTGTTCTTCAATTTAATTCTTCGCCGACAGAAGGTGTTTTATCAGGCAATGATAGTGTGAATCCAATTAAACTCCAGATTGTTTGCGAGACTCCGTGTCTAGGGATGCAGTTGGGAGTTCGTGAGCCACGCGCAGCTGAAGAGTTCAACCTCACGGGCACACTTTTGTTGTAAATCGAGTAAAAACTACGTGTTTGCACTCGCAAATATTAAAGAGAAATTTATAACGAAATGAATGTCATGAACTGTTCCGAAACAAAACGACACCGTTAATAACAGCAAACACAAAGCTGCTGTTAATGTACGTGCATTTGATCAAAATATATTTCTTAAATCAACTTTTGAAAGTGTGATTTCATAGAAAAAATAAGATATCATTTCGATGATACTGAATTAATGGTAACTCGATTCACAACAGTGTACGTGTGCTTTGAAGTCTTAATATCAATATGAAGTTATTCACCAAACTTTCATCGAAGAAATACAAAAGTTAATTTTGTTTTCAACTATTTTTAATATGCCATATATAAGGAATGAACATTATTAACCATTATACATGAAGTAGACAACCACTTGGTGATCCCTACATCTAAGTGTCCTAAACCACGTCCATAACAAGATACATAAACAATTAAATATAGAGAATAGATACCTTCTCCAGAACTGAAACATGGCCTCCAGACTGCAGGAATCGTGGACAATTATAACAGATATGGTTCTTGTGGCGTCCAACGAAATGTCACAAAGTATATGTCTTTCGAAATAAGCTTCCAGGAAGGTAGTATATAAAACAGTTTCATTGTCATCACAAAACAACATTTATCGGTGAATTTTCCTCGTCATTTTGAGGGTTAAGGCACAATATACAGTCTATAGTCGGAACACAAGGCACGGTGGTGTTCATCACTGTAGCACTGATGATTGTAGGGAGGGGGGCGTGGCACTCCAGGACATAGGACTTGTTGTGTAGGGGAAAGAAATGTTCACCGGACTGTGTCGTGTTTGACCCAGGGCTGACAAACCTGTCACCCCCAGGGGAAGAGGGAACGACCCCAAGGACCCTCGCCCGTGGGTGGGGATGTGTGTTAGGGCTGAGGCACTTGGAAAACTGTTAAAAAACGACCGTGATAGTCCGTAGGTGTTGTCGTAAAGTTGCGGAAACAGAGACATCGGCAGGGAGGACGTCGAGTTGGCTTTTAGATCAATGATTTTCGGCGGTGGGCTTGGAATCTTGTCAAATACATCAGGCTTTTTGACATCTTTTTCAAAACTATTGTCACAGTGGTCTGACTTTTTACATACGGAGTTTACGACTTTGGCGTGACACTGAGGAGGGCTGTCATTGCCCATGATACTGTCTATTGTAAAACTAGCACGTTTTCTGTTAGCTGTTGGTTGAGGGGTGGATGCGAGGGGTGGAGAGTTGAGGAGCTGGTTATCCCGGGGGGTGGGGGGAGAATGAAACGCGTCCCGGGAGAAATCCCCACTAGAGTCGGGATGGAGACGGGATGGCACCTTCGCAGGATCAGAAGCCATGTCTCCGGAAAGATTGTTCGAATCATCCATATTGTCACTATCTTGCACGTCACTCTCGTCAAATGACAGCGGTTCTATTGATTGACAGTGGTCAATTTCACTTGAATTTCCAGAATCAATACTTTCTGATTTCTCACTTGAACAATCTTCGACTTTGTTGGGCGCCTTTACCCTCCTCTTTCTCCGACGATAGTTTCCGTTTTCAAACATCTCCTCACAGTTTGGATCCAGGCTCCAGTAGTTTCCTTTTCCTGGTTTCCCCTTCTCCCTCGGAACCTTCACGAAGCAGTCGTTGAGGCTGAGGTTGTGCCGGATGGAGTTCTGCCAACCTTGTTTATTGTCGTGGTAATACGGAAAGCGCTCCATGATGAATTGATAGATTCCATTCAGTGTGATTTTCCTGTCTGGTGCGCTCTTGATGGCCATGGCGATCAGCGCGATGTAGGAGTACGGCGGTTTCTGGGGCTGTTCACGACGTTGAAGATCTTCAATCATGCGAAGAGCGTAAGCACGGTTGATATCCAGGGTGGGGTTGTAATACAAACTGTACGGGTAGGGGGTTGATGTGTACGGATTGTAGAATCCAGGCATCGGACCTCCACCCCCAAGGGGCACCAAACTGTCTCTAGAACCCATCTTCAAAATTAATTAATTGAAATAAACTTCACAAGTTGAACTTTAGGTTTCAAAAGTTAAAGTCCAAAAACACAATCACGTATAACATCCACGCTCTGGTGTAGCCAGGTGATGATAAGTCCTCATCCAAGTGATCACCCGGAGATGTGATGAGGGTTTAGCAATGTTACAGTTACGAAACGCTCAGTATGAGACCTGGGTGAGCAATGATCCTTCTCTCTACCTTCCCCCTTCTTAAAGCACAGAGCCCGCCCCTGTCCGTCCGGCCGGCAATTGTTGTATGTTATTGTTTTTGTATAGGCATTTGACTTGCTGATAGCCAAATAAATGGAACAGCGAGCAAGCGGTGTTAAAGTTTCTTTTGTCCCGCCGTGCGGCAAATGCCAGTTACACTTACGTTTCCAAGCACTTAACATCCCTCGGCCAATCAGAGCGCGCCATTCCCAGTGAAATGTTTATAAAACATTACTAACAATTATTTTGCCCACCCAAGATGCGGGGCTCGTGTTTATTTGGAAATTTCCAAACGAGAAATTGACCACCCATAACACAAACAGCGATTAGATGAGCTTTTTATAACCTGTTTCGCGTGGTTCGCCGTTTAATTAACCATCCGGTGATCATATCAAAAACTATCATACAAGTATTTAGGGAGTATTTTGACAGCGCCGGTGGGATGAATGGTGGGTAGTCGACTAGGGTTGTGTATACTCTAGATAAAGCTGGCCGACCCACAGTCAGGCTTCCCTTACCCTCGCGTCTGTAGTCTCTGTCTCTGAATGTCAGCTCGCTTGGGAGGGGGAGCCGGGAGGGTGAAACATGCAACGAGAAGCCATTCCGACTTTTACTGGGAATTGTTCTTCTTACTCATCGCGTGATGTTGAGCAGAATCTTGATCAGAATCTGGAGAAAGACACTGGTTTCTTTATTTTCAGCAAATGTCACTTTTTACACTATCTTACACCGTTTACATGTTCACATGTAGCTCGGCAATACGGCGTTTGTGTGTTGGATATCGCGATGGTCGATGTTTAAAATCAATGTCATTTGTTCAATAATAAATCTCCCTATAACCTAGCAGTGACCACACGCCTGAGTCATTGTGAATCATATGTTCATGGTTTGAATAGTCAGAGTCCGAATTAATGGGAATAAGTTGTAATGCAATGTACAACCCTCCTCCTCCCCACTTGAGGGTAAAGTGGCGAGCGCTGTCTCACACTTGAAGAGGGCGTGCGAGGCTCTGTATTACAAAACATAGCAGTGGGCAATTTCCTTCTTTCTCCCATTCACAGAGCGGAGTGTGTGGGATGACAATCACCTTCCGCTGTACACCCAGTTCCCATCTCCCTGTGCCTGTACACACACACACACACACAATATTTATCAAGTACAACTTACATATAATTAATAATTTGCATTACGAGTACTTATTTCAGATCGAAACCATAGTATCTATAATATTCATAACAATGGCTATTATTTGATGTCAACGCCACAAAATCTTTAGCATTACTCTCACGTTATTTTATGAACGTTCAAGGCTGACTTTTCAAAAGATTGACTATGTCATTAATTAGTATGGCTACACATCTCTTGTGTCACATTATTATATATATTACGTTTCAAACTATAATCACGGCAACTCAATATAATGAAATTTGGAGTGTAAATTTAACTATGGTCATTTTGAAACTGCGACTTACCATTTTAATGCTGAACTCATAGTATTCAAACGTATGTTTCTTGTGTGTTTTTTTATTATTCCGTTAGAGATTCGCTGTATTAAATCGATAGCTCATTATTTGAGTTCGGTATGTACACATGCATTTGGCCCCTGCCCGCCACGGTATTGAGTAATTTAACTTTACTCTTAGAGCAAGTACAGGCGACAGAGTATCGCTGGCTCAGCTGTGTCAACACGTGGAGTATTGCTTCAAGGAAATCAGTTTCATCAGCACTGTCAAACTTATCATTGATGCTGCAACAACATCGTATCGACAGGGCTTTTAGTCTAAACTCATAATTATGAAAGTTTAAGGGAAGTACAGAAAATTGACTGGATAGGTAAACAAGACAACATCATATGTTGTGTCGTGCAGGGTGACATGAGAAAATGAACAACATTTAATGAAAATAGCTTGAAGTTGAAAACGCCTATATTTTGTTGTACCCCCTAAGTTTGAGGGTCCCTCCACCCCCGCAGGTTCCCGTCGTGGGAGACATGGGGAGGAGGGGAGTGATCTGTTGGGAGAGGAGGGGATGTTTGTTGTTCCATCTGTGTGGGGTGGGCGAGGTGTACTGGAACGATATCACAACATAAGGTTACCTCACCCTCCATAGTAGATACATATAACGGACCCTTTGGGGGTGTCATTCATTCATTCATTCATTCATTCATTCATTCATTCATTCATTCATTCATTCATTCATTCATTCATTCATTCATTCATTCATTCATTCATTCATTCATTCATTCATTCGTATACTTGTACATTTCATGAGGTCATGCAAATGTCGTGGGATCCTGTCAGTCGTGCATGTCGTGGGATCCTACAGTGTGCATGTCCTGGGATCCTACAGTCGTGCATGTCCTGGGATCCTACAGTCGTGCATGTCCTGGGATCCTACAGTCGTGCATGTCCTGGGATCCTACAGTCGTGCATGCATGTCCTGGGATCCCACATCCATGTCCTGGAATCCTACAGTCGTGCATGTCCTGGGATCCTACAGTCGTGCATGTCCTGGGATCCTACAGTCGTGCATGTCCTGGGATCCTACAGTCGTGCATGTCCTGGGATCCTACAGTCGTGCATGTCCTGGGATCCTACAGTGGTGCATGTCCTGGGATCCTACAGTGGTGCATGTCCTGGGATCCTACAGTCGTGCATGTCATGGGATCCTACAGTCGTGCATGTCCTGGGATCCTACAGTCGTGCATGTCGTGGGATCCTACAGTCGTGCATGCCATGGGATCCTACAGTCGTGCATGTCCTGGGATCCTACAGTCGTGCATGCCATGGGATCCTACAGTCGTGCATGTCCTGGGATCCTACAGTCGTGCGTGCCATGGGATCCTACAGTGGTGCATGTCCTTGGATCCTACAGTCGTGCATGTCCTGGGATCCTACAGTCGTGCATGTCCTGGGATCCTACATTCGTGCATGTCCTGGGATCCTACAACATGGAACAGTATGTTTCAGAGCCGGATTCCTAGAAGTGCCTCACTTGGAGTGGTGTCGGACGAGCGAAATGTCATAGGTGAACGTGATATGCAAACGGCGTTTTGTTTATTTGTTATATTGTGGTAGAAGTACAAATGTTTATGTTATTGGGGGTCTGATGACGAAATGAAGGCGATGTTGCGATAACCATAGCCGACTACACAGATCGCGGAGACACCAGGCCGGTGGGTGGTATAAAAAAGGAGGAATCGAAAAACCTGGGAGGTCACACGGAGTGTTTGGAATATTATATTTAGAAAAAATAAATTTTTGCCAAATGTGAATGTGATTTGGATGAACTGGATTACCGCCGCCCTGTACTCCAGAGTTGGGTCAGTCTAGCGGACGACCTGGATCACCGCCGCCCTGTACTCCAGAGTTGGGCCAGTCTAGCGGACGACCTGGATCACCGCCGCCCTGTACTCCAGAGTTGGGTCAGTCTAGCGGACGACAGTTTAGCGCGGCTAGGGCAGTTCACCTTCCACACAACCAATATCAGATGTTTTACAAGATCGAGATAAAATTTGAAAAAGAACAGAAAGTGAACCTTGAGGGTAGCTTGAACTGGAACATTTTGCTGGGGAGTTCATAAACATGTTCTCTTTCTATTAAACAAACAGACATGGTAAATTGTGTCAACAGTCAACTGTTTGCGGGCAAGGAAATAGAATCATGATCCGAAACATAGTTTATTTATGAAATATAGCTTTTATTGGATTTGAAATACGTCCACGTGTGGAGTCCTTAATCTAGGGGAAAAACGAGGGTTGTGAAAAAGTAAACTTGTTATTTTAACGAAATGGAATAGTTCCGTAGGCATTTGAATAAAAACAAGATTCTAGGATATGTCCACATGTACAACCAAACTGAGCTAGATGCTTTACGTGTTAAAAATAGTGAATCAAATTCTTTATCTTCCTTAACATGAAGGAGTAGAAGTGATGTGATAAGGGGCGTGTCTGTTATTTTTCATAAATGTTTTCGAACGATTAAACTGTTTTAGTTTGTTTATAAACAAATTCCAGTATCATAAACACATATTTCAGCATCTGCATTGAGACAATTTGTGTATCTACTCTCAATAGGAATGTCTGCATTTGTAGACTTGATGTTTATTTAATATCAAGATATTCAAAAAAGTCTTTTATTAATGCAAGACAGGAGAAAAATATTGAAAGATGAAAATCTAACACTGGTGGAAAAACAAGCGGCTTCTTTGATGTTTCTGAAGTGTGATAGTACGTAAACAACTTATTTCACACTGATGACGTTTGAAGAGAAATAAGTGATACTTGAGAAACCATGACAATTATAGGCTCAACTGGTCAAACTTTCCCAAGCTGACCGCGAATGTTTGGCCGTCTGTGTCGACACTCGACAACAATAGACCGGCATCCGATAAACGTTTCCCGACATCGTGAGAGAATCAAACAACGATGCAGTTCCACCATGCGCCTGTAGTTGATACAACCATATAATGATACCATCACAGATTAACTCAATAATCATTAAGGAAAACCCACAAAGTAATTAGAAGACAAGGGGATAAGCAAGAAACAATTTTATGTTCATTTCGCATCACACCTCCAACAATGACCACAGGTCAACGGATTGAAGACCACGGCTCTGAAGACGTCCTTTCTCTGGTTCCCAAGGCGCGACAACGGGACTGTTTGCCAATTTGTCCGCAGGTAAACATCAAACGCACCGCCGCTTTTTCAGGTGTGAAATTCAGCGTTCAAAAGGTTAACGAGATAAATTTTGTGCAAATGCTGT